GCAGGCGATGCCGTCGGGAAGGGCTGGTGGAACTGAATCGACTGCGTGTGGCCCTGGTGGCCGCCGCCGCCGCCGCCACCGTGGTGTCCGTTACCGGCGTTGCTGGTCGTCGTTTGCGTGTTCGGCGCCATGGTCGATTGGATCGTCGTCAGGGTTGTTGTCAGCGACCGCACGGACGGCGCCGGCGACGAGAAGGTGCTGTCACCACCCCGCCTCGAATCGATCCCCCCGGCCGTGCGGTTCGTCCCGGCGACGGACGAGGCGCCATGCGACGGCGCGACCATCGAATGCGGCGCCTCATGGTCCGTCGCTACCGTCGGCGCCAGCGACCGTGCCCCGCCCGCTGTGTGGGGGGGTCGGTCGTCGTCGGACCGCACGCTCCGTTCTAGTGACGTTGCACTGCCGCTGCGGCCTGTTGACGAGAACGAGTGCGAGCTGTGGTTTGTCTGTCCCTGCCCGACACGGCCTGACTGCGGGTATGGGTTGTTGTTCTTCGACACGTGCTTCTTGTGGCCCTTCTTGCCCTGTAGTCGCTTCGATTCGGAGCCGTTGCGGAGCTGGCCGTCGCTGGAGGAGTTTTTGAAGTTGGTCGTGAGCTTTTTTACCCACGTGGAGAAGGGACGGCGCCGGCCCGGACGATCGGAGCGATCTGACATGATGTTAGCTGACTGCTGTTCGGGCTGCCATGATGCTCGAAGGCGTGTGCGGGCGTTGCTCGAGAGATTCTGGGCCGAGAAGAGGCGGGGGATATACCATGAGGCGAGGGCGCAGGTTCCGTTGTCGCCATCAGGTTGCAATCGGGGATTGTCAGGAACAGGTGGAAAGCTGTCGTCGTGAAGGAGTGTTGCCTTGCCACGTTAAGACTTCAATGGGTTGTGCAGCAAGGAAGGAAGAAGCTTAGGTCAGGATGAGATTCAACGAGAGGATGAACAGCTTCAGAAAATAGAGCGAGGGGTTGGGAGTCAGTAGGTCGCCTGATGATGTCGGTCTGACAATGGTACATATGTGAATGGTTGGTTGGTTGGTTGGTGTTGGTGGATTGGGATTGGGGGTGCTCGACGTTCTATTGTTAAGGGTCCAGACTCAGCCGCAGCCCGGTCCGGTGGAGCGACGAGGTGCAGCCGGGTATCCTTGTAGCCCGAAGATTCGTTAATCAGTGTTTCACCCCTGGATGCACATGGACACGCTGGTTCTTGGCCCGTCAACGCGACACGCTTCGTTTCTTTTTCTCGTCACAACGCATCCATCTCTAATCATCGCGAGCATTTACGGCGCCGGCGGGTGGTTGGCAATTTCGAGTGTCGAAATGCCAGTCTGCTCCTCGACAGGCTTCTCGTTCTTGCCCTCCGCTTTCTCCGCCCCAGCGGGCCCAGTGCCAGGGTGACGAGAGCCCTTGTCCTTGACCTTCTTGACCTTCTTGGCCTTCTCTTCCGGAGGGTAGGCCTTGAGCATGACCTCCTGCCACTCTTTCGACGACTCAAAGTCCTTGACAATCGGCTCCATCAGCTCAAGAAGCGCCTTGGTAACGGCCGGCTTCAGGATCTGGGGGCTCAGGATGTCGTTCTTGTAGTCCTCGTGCATCTTGGCAATGTCATTGTACACCAGCGGCTCAAGGTTGTCGCGGCTGCGGTCAACCACGAACTCGGCCTTGCCGGACCTGAGTTCGCTCGCGGGAAGAAGGACGAACTCGGTGAAGGAGAGAACCTGGACAGTCAGCGGGGTTGGCGGTGCGATTGGCGCATACACTTACGCCGTTGTTCTCAGGAATCTTGGGAACCGCCTCAGCCTTGCGAAGCTTCTTCGTCACGACGTCAGGACTGTCAAGAAGGTCGATCTTGGAGTCGGCCTCGCTAGAGCTCTGCTGCCGTTAGTGCGTTGCGCTTCCCCAATGCGCCGGGTATCGTACCATCTTGCCACCCTGAAGACCCGGCACCATGGGGTTCATCAGGTGTGCGCGCTCCTTGTAGCCCAGCTTTGGCAGCCAAGCCTTCGCGGCCGTGAAAAGCTTCCTTTGGTCTGCAAACTATGAGCATCGTGTTCTCAGGCCAGGGACACGCTACTAACCGACACCGCCAAACTGGCAGTCAGCCCCAAGGTACTGCTCGTCCAACACCTGCAAAAGAGGGTAAAGAAGCCCAGACTATCATTCCATCAGCTCTTAGTCGTCTTCAACGAGGTGCCGAGTCTTACAAGAGGAGCATTGGAGGTCTGCTTGACAACCTCGGCGCCGGCTTTCCGGGCATCGTGCTCAGAAGTAATGGAACTGAGCTTGAAAAGGTCCATGACGTACTAACCCCAGAATCAGCAGCATTCCCACCTTGAATTGAATGTATACTTACATCAGAGGACTTTTGGTACTCGCTGCCAAGGACAAAGCGCAACCTGCAATGTGTGAGCTGGGATGACTTTGCGTTGCTCGGGTCAGAACAGCCCTACTTGGAGGTGTCGACGCCAACAGCCTTGAGCATAGACGTGATCGTGAAGCGGTAGTATTCGGCACGGTACTGCACGATCTCAATGGGGGCTTTCAGATCTGTGTTTTGTCAGTCTTCGCGCGCTGGCCATGGGCTGCAGTATTCGGTGTATGTCTGCGCCGCAGCCCTCGAGATCGGATTGGTACGCACTGTCAAGGACTTGTATCGCGTCAGCGGTTATGCAAATGCAAAGGTGGGTGTCTGAAGCACTTACAGCCGTGGATGTCGGCAAGCAGGACAGTCACACTGGCGCCGGCGCGGAGGAAGTCTGCCAGCTTAAGGGCAGCAACGAAGTCTAGCCATGTCAGAGAGCGCAATCAGAGCGACCAATGGGTTCCTTACAGCCAGTATGAGGCCGACCAGTTGTGGCGGTGCCTACAAGGCGATTAGTACAAGTTGCGCCCAGCTCTAGCATCAACCATACCCCAGTAAATGTTGGGCTCGCGACCCTCATCGTAGACCTTCTCGAGGATATCGACATCGAGGGCCTCGGCGAGGTTTCGCGTGATGAGCTTGAGCTTCTGCTCCTTTGTGAGGTCCGCCATGCTGTATGAAGTGATCGCTGTCGGGCGCGAGAGGTAGGCTTCTGGTGGTCTGTCACGGAAGGTTGAGTCACTTCCAATCGTCGCCGCGAAAATCATGGAGGGGCAGCACCGCGGGGTCTAGCGCGGGGCGGCTCGCCGCCCCGGTAGATGCAAAGGGGTTTGGGACCTGGGCAACGGCGCTAACCGTTTCGGGGCACATGGCGTCACTGGTCCGTGTACCTCGAGCACCCCGACACTGCCTTTTATGAGTGTAACGATTCTCTGGCATCAGAACGGACCTGCATCAACGCCACGATGAGAACATCAGGGGCAGCATGTCGATCAAACCGCTCCCTCCAGAAGCTGTGAAACAGATCAGATCATCTGTAGTGATCACGTCTCTCAATGAAGCCATTGTCGGTCTCATCAAAAATTCATTAGATGCGAGGGCGAGGAGGATCAACGTCACTGTCGACTATTCTAGAGGAAACTGCGTCGTCGAAGATGATGGTCAGGGCATACCGCCTCACGAGTTCTCGGAGAACGGAGGGCTCGGGAGATTGCATCGTACGTCTTATCTACATTTGTCTCTTGCTCCGTACTGACTTTGTAGACACATCGCGCTATCCCCGGGGAGATGATACGTTTGGCGCTCATGGGGACTTCATTGCCTCACTAGCAGCTTTATCGTTATTCTCTATCACGTCTCATCACAGGTCCCACAAATCACATAACACCTTGACCTTTCGCAATGCTGAGTTGTTGGTTCGAAACACACCAGCAAAGCCAGAGCACCACATTCAGACCTTCAGCCATGGTACTCGTGTTTGTGTCAGAGACCTATTCGGAAACATGGCAGTCAGAGTCAAGCAGCGGCCTTCTACCATGGACAAGACAGCTCTTGACAGGGATTTCAACAGCTTGGTCCACGACGTGGTCGCTGTGTCGCTCGCATGTGCCGCTGATGTCAATTTGCACCTTCGGGACTCAGGCGCCCGGAACACAGTCCGACTTCGTCCGTCACCCGCAGACACCAGCGTCAACGATCCTCCAACTCGGATCTCAAGGGTCCTGGTGCAATCCGGTCTCGCAGATGATGTCTCGTACGGCACATGGGTTGCTGTGGGTGGCTCGACAAGCAGTCTCTCTGTCAAGGGTTCCATTTCCCTGAACGCAGTAGCGACACGTCGAGCCCAGTTCATCAGCTTTGGTATTCATCCGATGGCAGGGGGTCAGGGATATGGATCCCTATACGAAGACGCGAATCATGTCTTTGCCAACTCGGATTTCGAGAATGACAATTTTTCAGAGTCTCAACCCAAGGATACCATGCCGCGCAAAGATCTGAAGTCAAAGAGAGGGTTAGAACGTTGGCCCATGTTCTCTTTCCGGGTGGAAAGTACTGCTCCTCCACCGCACAATCGATCCTTCGAAGACATACTGGAACAGCCCCGGAGATTGTCCCAAATATCCGATCTGATCAAGATTGTATGCTTCGAATTCTTGAAGAAACACCAATTTCGTCCTCGGACACTGTCGTCGGGACGCAACTTGAAGCGGCAAGCCTCTCGCAGCGACAGCACGACCATCGCCAAGCGTGCTAAGACCGCGTCCTCGTCCCAAAGTCGTTCTAGAACTTCGACACCTGTTCCGAGAACCGCATCGCCATTCGACCTCTGGGAAAGAGTCAAAGTTGGCAAGGCACGGCAGTTGATGCCCAAGCTCAATGCTCATGAGGCCCAGTCGTTGCCGTTGCCGCTCATACCGCCAGTCACGGTTCTCGAAACCCCCCGAGTGCCTGGTGAGAGAAGCCCCTTTGTCGATAAAGAGGGGCGGCTACTTGAGAAGCCATTTGACGAGATCGGTCTGCCGCCATCTCTATCGAAGCAAGATTCTCGAGGCTTGCAGCCGCCTGTCATCAAAAACACCCCCAAAGAAGCTGTCGAAAGGCTTTCGGGCGAGAATCAATGTGATGTCCATCTGTCAGATACTAGGCCTCTTTCAGTGCAGACCGATGGAATGTCAAAAGTCTTCTCAAAATGCATCCGCATTGGAAGAGACAAGACTTGTGAAGAGCCGAGCGAGTGGCTCAGGGGCCTTCTTGGATCGTGGAAGAACCCAGTATTTCCAGCCACCGAGGCTCCTATCCACCGCATGGAGGACGTCACAGCCACTGCAGGTACTGAAGCCAAATGCGGCGGCCATGGCTTGGGAAGCTCCTCGGTCGAAATGTCGTCGATAAAGCTACAGGGACAATTGTCCAAGCAAAGTCTACGCGACGCCGACGTGGTCTCTCAGGTTGACAACAAATTCATACTCGTCAAGTTGCGACAAGAAACAAGCTCGAAGTTTTTTTGTGAAGCAGGCAGTAACACAATGCTAGTTGTTGTTGACCAGCACGCCGCAGATGAACGGTGTAAGCTGGAGGCATTGATGAAGGGATACTTTGTCCTGGATAACAATGCCGTCCTCAGAGCCGACACCATGGTACTGAGCGCCCCTCTCACGTTTGAGCTGAGTAGCAAAGAGTGTGAGCTACTCCGACGGCGCACCAGCCACTTCGAGAACTGGGGAATAATCTACATCATCACATCAACGGCTCAGACCTCAGGATCGGCCCAGCTTTCTACCATTGAAGTACGTAGTTTGCCACCAAGTATCCTCAAGCGCTGCATGGATGAGCCAAAGCTGCTGGTGGACCTCTTGAGGCATGAGGTCTGGAGACTAGAGGAAGAAGGCACACGCGCTCCACTGTATCCTTCTAGAGCCAGGAATGCCGAAGATTGGGTCTCGAACTTTCAAGGCTGTCCGCCTGGCATTCTCGACATGCTCAACTCGAGATCCTGCCGCAGTGCCATCATGTTCAACGATGTACTGTCCCTGGATCAGTGCACCGAACTCGTGCGACAGCTCGTAGACTGTTCTTTTCCATTTCAATGCGCACACGGAAGGCCGTCCATGGCTCCTTTGGTGGACTTGAGGAGCTTCTCAACGCTGTTCAGGGGTGGTTCGAAGGAGCGGGAGAGCTTTGGGAGACGGCTCAAGGCATCGGTTGCCGAACAATGACCTCTGTTTCATACTCTGTAGTAGCTAGCATATGATACCCATTTGATTCTTTGACAAAATTCGTTATCTTGCTTTAGAATACAAGAGTTGGACTCGTTCCTGTGCCCACCTCAGGCAAAGGCACGCTCACCGAGTTTCACCGAGATCAGGAAGTGGGTCCATCGTGGGTGGCGCTTGTCACTACCAACAGCTCGAGCTCGAGCTCCCAACAACGTCATGCTGCGACAGGCTACAGCGTCAACGTCTTCCCCACGACAACCACCTTCTGAGGCAATGTAGCGATGGCCGTATCGGTACGCTTCTCAAGGAAACGATGCGACACCGCAGCAGCTAACAGATCCAGTGGAGGGCATTCGACTTCTTCGACGTCAGCCAGGTCCGGCTGGCGGACGACGAGACGCGCCTCTTTGTCGAGAGCAATGACATCTCCAAGATATGCTCAGGCTCCGACAGCCTCTTCCTCGGAAGCTACGATGGATATGTACGGATAGTGGGAGCGAGCTGGAAAATCATTCGAAGCTTCCAAGCGCACGATGCTGCCATCACCCACATGCGACAGATCGAGGGGACGAGCTTGCTGCTCACAATCGCGGTAGGCCGACCGGCTCGCGGGCAAGTGCGACCGCCACTGACAGCGAACAGGAGGACCTGAGCAACGAGCCGGTGCTCAAGGTCTGGGCGCTCGACAAGCTGGTCAAGAAGACGAACATGCCGACGTGCCTCAGCACGCTGCGGATCAACAATGGGAAGAAACAGTTTCCGGTACGTCGGGCAGGAGGAAGCGCCGCGTGCCGTGCTGACCAGCGTAGATCTCGGCACTCACAGCCCTCGACGACCTCTCGCAGATTGCTGTGGGCTTCGCCAACGGCACCGTGACTGTCATCCGCGGCGACCTCATCAACGACTTGGGCGCGAAGCAGCGCATCATGTACGAATCCGAGGAGCCAGTGACGGGTGTCGAGCTCATCCCCGAACCGAGCAACAACAGTACAACTCTATTTATTTCGACAACAGCGCGGATACTGAAGCTCTCCATCTCCAAGAAGGGGCATGGATATCCGCCCAAGACGGTCGAGGACGTCGGATGCGATGTTGGGTGCATGACGCTGGACAAGAGGACCGAAGAAGTCGTCGTTGCGCGGGATGACGCCATCTACACCTATACCGTTGATGGGCGCGGGCCGCCAAAGGCATACGAGTCACCCAAAAAGTCGGTGGCTGTATACGGCGACTACACAGCGCTCGTATGCCCGCCATCGAGCGCTGTCAAGGACAAGCAGCCGGACTCGATGAGGCGACGGTTCGGAGGGGCTGCGGATGCACTGTTCAATGCTTCGACCTTTGTCCTTCTGGAAGCAGATCTCCGCCTCATAGGACACACTGAGTCGCTCATCTCGCCTTTCAGGGCACTCTTTCAGATTTGGGGCGATCTGTTTGTGATGACGCAGGACGGCAAGGTAGGATGTAAAGAACACATGCACGCGCTCACGGCAGCTAACAACGTCAGGTCCACCGCTATCACGAGAAGACTCTGCAGCAAAAGCTGGAACTCCTATTCCAGCGCAACATGTATCCCCTCGCAATCGATCTCGCCAAAAAGTCAGGTATGGACGAGAAGCAGCGGACCGAGATCTTCCGCCGCTTTGCCGACCACCTCTACCAGAAGGCAGATTATGACGGCGCCATGGTGCAATACATCAAAGCGATAGATACAACAGAGCCATCACAGGTTATCAGGAAATTCCTCGACACACAGAGGATACATAACCTCATCCAATATCTGGAGCAGCTGCACGAACACCGGAAAGCGACGTCTGATCACACGACACTGCTTCTGAATTGCTACGCAAAACTGAAAGACATCGACAAGCTGGAGAAATTCATCAAATCTCCCGGCGACCTGAAATTCGACCTCGAGACGGCCATCTCGATGTGTAGACAGGGTGGTTATTACGAGCAGGCGGCGTACCTTGCGAAACAGCATGGTGAGATTGACTTGGTGGTCGATATCCTTATTGAGGACTCGAAGCAGTATGACGAGGCTCTTGACTTTATCTGGCGACAAGACCCCGAAGTGGTGAGTGCTCCTGATATGATGAAGACGTTCTGGGCGACTAATAGTCTTAGGCCTACCCCTGCTTGAAGAAATACGCACGAGTTCTTATTGAGCACTGCCCGAAAGATGCAACATCTATCTTTGTCGACTACTACACCGGGAAATTCCGACCGCGAATTGGGGCGTTTGGAGGAGACACGACGGGCATGCAGATCATCCAGGTCCAAGACAATGATGGCAACACATCTAGCCGTATCGTCGCCGGTGTTGCCGGAGCTGCCAGCGCCGTGCAAAACCTTACGAACTTGCTTCCCCTCCCGTACATGAACTCGGCCGCAGTGGCGACGCCAGACTCGCAAGAGAACGGCAGCAAGACGAACGGAAACGGCACCGTCATCCTCGACCCCGAGGACATCCCGGCGCCCAAATACACACCGCCCCCGCCGAGGACGGCTTTCTCTTCCTTTATCGACCACCCGGACGAGTTCATCGTCTTCCTGGAGGCATGTCTCAAGGAGAAGGAGCTGAAACACTCAGACCGAACTGATCTCTATACGACACTGTTTGAGATGTACCTCTCCAAGTCGAACGAGAAGCGGGGCGAGCAGCACAAGGAGGAGTGGGAAAACAAGGCCAAGAAGCTCATCGAAGGCCAGGACATTCCGATGGAGAGCTCCAACGTGCTGCTCCTCTCGCACTTGTCCGACTTTCAGGACGGCACGCGGCTCGTCAAGGAGCAGTCGGGCCTGCTCTTTGACATCTTCCGCTCGTACACGGCCGCGAAGGACACGCGCGGCGCGATCCGGGCGCTGCGCAAGTACGGCTCGCAGGAGCCGCAGCTGTACCCGGCGGCGCTGGCGTACCTGACGTCGGACCCGCGCATCCTCGAGGAGGCGGGCCCCGACGAGCTGGCGGGGGTGCTCGGCAAGATCGACAAGGACGGCCTCATGGCGCCGCTGCAGGTGATCCAGACGCTCGTGGGGTCGTCGGGCGGCGGCGTGGCGACGATGGGCATGATCAAGCCGTACCTGCACGAGACGATTGAGCGCGAGCGGCAGGAGATTGCGTCGAACCAGCGGCGCATCGCGGCGTTCCGCACCGAGACGGACCAGAAGCGGGGCGAGCTCGCCGACATTGGCTCCAAGCCCGCCGTGTTCCAGGCGACGCGGTGCGCCGACTGCGGCCAGCAGCTCGACCTGCCGGCCGTGCACTTTCTGTGCAAGCATAGCTTCCACCAGCGGTGCCTGCGCGGCGGCGGCGCCGAGGGCGACTCCGAGTGCCCGCAGTGCGCCAAGGACAATGCGACGATCCGGGCGCTGCGGGCGACGCAGGTCGAGACGGCGGGCAAGCACGAGCTGTTCCGGGCCGAGCTCGAGCGGAGCGACGACCGGTTCGCCACCGTGGCGGACTGGTTCGGCAGGGGCGTCATGGGGGCGCCGACCGCGGATGCGTAGTGGCCGGGTAATAGTAGGCGATAGCTGTTGCTAGGAGGAGTGCATCGAGGAGCAAGCAGAGACGGAAGTAAGGGGGGGGGAATCTATACTTTTATTTTGAACGCCCATGGGTTCTGACACGGCATACAGTAAACAAATTTCACGCGCTCTAGCCAACATGCGGTCCTTCCTCTCTCTCTCTCCCTCTCTCCCTCCCTCTCCCGCTTTTGACGTCTCACTCAACAAACTCCTCTGACCCCGGCTTCCTACGCCTCCGGCTTCTTGACAGGCGGCAGCAGGCTCCTCGTCATCTGGCGGGCGTGCTGGGCCATGAGGGCGTCCATGATGACAATGGCGGCCATGCCCTCAACGATGGGGATGGCGCGGGGCACGACGCAGGGATCGTGCCGCCCCTTGGCGGCGAGGACGCCGCCCTCCTCGCCGTCGTAGGTGGCCGTCGTCTGGTCCTGGCCAATGGTGGCGGCGGGCTTGAAGGCGACGCGGAAGTAGATGGGGGCGCCGTTGGAGATGCCGCCCTGGATACCGCCGCTAAAGTTGGTCTTGGTCGTGAGCTTGGAGCGCGGGATGCCCAGGCGGGCCGTCTCGGCGGCGGCGCGAGCATCGTCCTCGGGGGCGCGGATAAAGGCGTCGTTGTGCGTCGAGCCGGGGACCTCGCAGCCAGCAAAGCCCGAGCCGATCTCGAAGCCCTTGGTTGCCGGGATGCTGAGCATGGCGTGGGCGAGCAGGGCCTCGAGCTTGTCGAAGCAAGGCTCGCCGAGGCCGGCGGGCGGGTTCTTGATGACGCAGGTGACGGTGCCGCCGATCGAGTCGTCACGGTCGCGGAAGCCGGCAATGTAGTCGTTCATGGCCTCGGACGTCTCGGTGTGCGGGCAGCGCACGGGAAGGAACTTGTCGACGGTGGCGCGGTCGATGGTCTGCAGCAGCGAGAGGAAGGCGGGGTTCGTCGAGGGCGAGGGGTGCTCAGGGGTCGGCGGGAAGAGGTGGACGTTGCCGACGCTCGTCGTGAAGGCCGTGATCTCGGTGCCGTAGGCCTCGCGCAGGTACTTTTCGGCAACGGCGCCAGCGGCGACGCGGGCAATGGTCTCGCGCGCCGAGGAGCGGCCGCCTCCAGAGGAAGCCTTGATGCCGTACTTGGTGAGGTAGGTCCAGTCGGCGTGCGAGGGACGCGGGAAACGGTCCATCGTCTTGTTGCCGTAATCCTTGGGACGCTGGTCCTCGTTGGGCACGAGCATGCCAAGCGGTGTGCCCAGGGTGTAGCCAAACTCGGTGCCGGACTGGATGGTGACGCGGTCCTTCTCATTGCGGGGTGTTGTGATGGCAGACTGGCCAGGACGGCGACGTGTAAGCTGGGGCTGAATGTCGGACTCGTCGAGGGCGAGACCAGGGGGCACACCATCGACGATGACGCCGACGGATTTGCCGTGGGACTCGCCGTAGCTGGGAGATCATTGTTAGCTCTTGTGATGGGCGGAGGCGGGGGTGGCCATGTAAAATATGTCCAGTCTGTCAATTGACTCACGTGGTGACCTTGAAGTAGGTTCCGAACGTCGACATGATGACTCTGATGTCTGCTGGTGTGTGATGAGGGAGATGAAGAGAAAGGATAGGGGAGAAGAAGAAGAAGAAGAAGAAGAAGAAGAAACGGAGGTAGAGGTTCCAGGTGTCGTGACTCAACGAAGATTCAGCAATGGCAACAGCAACTGATCATGGTGGTGCGCTTTCCTTTGGGGGTGCCGCCGAGCCGATCGCGGCGGGGGAGGGGTCCGCCCCTATACAGCGGTGGGCCCGGTAGTTGCGTTCTGATACACGACTTCGTGAGTCTGTGCTTAAACGCATACACGCATCGGGTCGACGTCCAGGGGTCCAACCTTCACGGACATCCCATCATCATTCTCGCGATCTGGGTCAACTTTGCTCATCGTGTCGGAACACCAGCACAGTTCCCTCGCCAATGTCTGTCAATAGACCGTCACACCTCATACATCCTGCAACCGACGAAGCTGACAGCCACCCAGATCCCCCGATCATCATGAGACGCCACAACACACCATGACAATGCTCTCCTCAACACCAGCCTTCACCATGAGGCTCATCTCCCGTCGGCCCCTGAGAGCACGGTCTCTCTTCCACTCATCCAGGCCATTCTCCGCCTCGCCGTCTCCCAGGCGACCCTCGCCCCTCGCCTCTGCCGCAACCGCCAGAACCCAAGTCTACATCTCCCGCTCGTCGGACCCCTTCCTCAACCTGTCCATAGAGCACCACCTCCTCCAGACGACCCCCTCCGAGTCCACCGTGCTCTTCCTGTACACGAACCGCCCCAGCGTCGTCATAGGCCGCAACCAGAACCCCTGGCTCGAGCTCAACCTGCCCCTGCTGCACGCCTACGTCCCCCGCCCCGCCACCCAAGGCCGAGGAGACGACGGCAAGGACGGTCACGCCGCCGGCGTCACCCTCGTGAGACGACGCTCCGGCGGCGGCAGCGTCTTCCATGATGCCGGTAACGTCAACTTTAGCGTCATCTGCCCGCCTGCCGCCTTCGACCGCGACCGCCACGCCGAGATGGTCGTGCGCGCCCTCCGTGGTCTCGGCGTTCCCGGCGCCCGCGTCAACTGCCGCCACGACATTGTCGTCGACGTCGGCGCCGACGCCGACGCTGGCAAGGCTGGTGGTGTCAGGGCACCGCCGCAGGCCTCGTCGGCCCCGGCGCCCGAGACCTGCGCCGCCAACAAGGGGCCCGAGGACAAGGCGACGTTCAAGGTGTCTGGGTCGGCGTACAAACTAACGAGGTTGCGGTCGCTGCATCACGGCACGTGTCTGCTGTCGTCGCCGAACCTCGGTTCCATCGGGCAGATGCTGCGGTCGCCCGCCGAGCCCTTCATCAAGGGCCGCGGCGTCGAGAGTGTGCGCTCGCCGGTGCGCAACGTCGGCGTCGGCAACGAGGAGTTTGAGGGCGCCGTCGTCCGCGAGTTTGGCGCCATGTATGGTGCCTTTGACGTCATTGCTGAGGTGGATGAGGACGCCGCCGAGTTGGAGAGCGTGCGGAGGGGCATGAAGGAGCTGCAGGTGAGCTTTGGCACCACCCGCCATGGGCTGCAACGTGTAAACCCCCGTCCCTCGTAGACTGCTAATCGCTCTGTCGCAACATTAGTCGAGAGACTGGCTCTACGGACAGACGCCGCTCTTTTCCTTCTCGACTCGGCCTACGGAGGACGACCCGAGGCCGAGGCCAACGCTGCCTGACGATGTGAGTAGCCACTTTCCCTCGCATGACCCTTGCGAGAAAGACCGCCGTTCTCTCAAACACGGCTGACAGCGACAGTTCAACCTGAGCTTCGAGGCTCGCCAGGGCGTGCTGCAGAGCTTCGTCCTCGGCAGCACGTCGCCTGCGGGCGAAAAGTGGTCAGTCGCATCGCTTACCGATGCCAAAATACACGACGTCAACGACTGGGTGGAGCGCCTTCGCGGAGGCGGCGTCAACAGCGATCGGGCCTCGGCGATCGGCTCCTGGCTCAACGGCCTTTTAGGCGCCGGTGGCGGTCGGTGAACCTGTTCGCGAGGTGTATGCGTGCGCCGTGACACATACACACATATTCTTGTACTGCTACTTGTATGATATCGCTAGCAAGCCCAGTGTTGGAAAGAATCAGGCCATCATCGTGGCAATGACACCGGCACCATGTTCTGAAACAAAGAAAAGCACGACGCGCAATTTGTTCACACCAGTAGAGTCTGTTACCCGTCACGAGCTTGCATCTGAGGAGCGCCCCAGTTGGATCCATCGATCATCTGCCGCATATAGTCGTAACGGAGCTTGCGAGGCGACCATCATGATATCGTCATCGTTCGCACGCAACATCTTCTCCGTGCCTGAGCCCCCTCCCCTACTCTTCCATCAGGCCCCCCCAGGAGGAGGGCCGCCTCATCAGCATATTGTCAATAAGGGGGGATCACGCACTGGGTTGTCAGGAGGTTCTCCCAAGCCGCCTCCCCGCGCGATCCGCAACCCTCGCTCAACACCCGTTCCGCATGTATCATTGGACCCTGGCACGCGAGAAGGCTGCAAAGGCAGTGAGACACTCTTGGCTAGTGCCGAAGCGGGACCCGAGTGATGCCACCCAGCCGGGCGAGCAGTTGTGAGTGGTGCACTGCCGCGGATGTCCCAAGAGATCCGGGATTTTGTATAAGGGGTTTGGCTCATTCCTCCTTGGCCAGACCAGGCGACATGGCCAAGTGAATAGAGTCCTAGACCAAGTGTGTTTGCCGCTGCGCTCATGGGTTCAGCCCAGAGTGAGACATGAATGCCCACCACCAACAAGTCGGGGTGCGGCTGCGCCACTACGGTGCGGCGTCATCGACAGACTGCTCCCTTACACATCCTTCGCCGAATGCATCCAAGGCTGGCTGGCTGAAGATTGCTCACGACACCCACCTTGAGAGACCCGGAGCGCAAGATGGAATGACTGGCTGCCAATATTACGAGCGCGCGGCGTCGCAAGAAGGTGTGGCTGCCGTCTTGTCTCCTTTGCACAAGACCAGTTCTGGCCGTCATGTCTTGCATCTAGGCCTGAAACGGGCGTCGTGAGTATTGCGGGCGGCGGATCCGGTGAGGGTGCGTTCGTATTGGGATCACAAATCTGGCCATCTTACTTCCATCATGACGCCTATGCAGCCCTCGTCTCGTGGAATAAACGTCGAGAGAGTATATACTTTGTGGTTGAAAATGGCAAATGACGCGCAGCAGCATATTGTCAGCCTCCTAGATCGATGCACGGCTAATCACCACATCTCGGAGCGCAGGCGGTGGTCGCCAGGATGAGCCTTGGAGGTGAGAACCACTCAGAGGCCGCACGGGTGTCCTGCTTCGCCCATGTTCGCCCTCCACACAGGAAGTTGAGAGCAGGGTAGCATCGGACTCGCTGCATCACATCGCCGTTCCTCCTTCGACAGTCGACGCCTCGCCAATCACAAGGCGGACCATAGTCCGACCGGCGGAACCAAATCGGCACCATCCCTCTTTGTTGATGGCTGCAACTTGGGCGAATCGATGTTGGTCGTGGCCCCTCCACATTGTCCCATTTTCCCCTTGCGCGTGTCGATCGCATACACAGGTTGCTTCTTTCTTTCCTGGCATAGCGCACCACCACGCGGAGCCAGGCTAGAGACGGGCCTTCGGTTCGATGTATTGCATGCATGGTAGCTGTGCAAGTCGATCGAGCCGCCGCAGTGTTTTCTTTTCTATTCTTCTTGTTCGTTGGGCTGCGGCCGTACATTCAAGGCTGGCATGCTGACGCATAACTGGTGCGTTACCAGTCAACTCGTGTGCCACATCCTTCCAGCTCAGCCAGGGCGGTGTGGCATACCACAAGCGCGCTACAAAAGCAAAACAGACACAGGCTGAGGGCCATGGCTCACAAGGACCTGCTGAAGCATCGCTCACCGGCTTCAACGAGGGCGCGCAATGGGCCAAGGACCCGTCAGCCACCAACAATCCAGTGGTGACGGTTAGAAACGTGATAAGCACATGCCGACAAATGTGAAGAAAGTCTAAAAGAGTGACGAGACAAGTCCACGGAGGTTGTACCCGCCGGAATGTGAGCAGTCACATCGCGGTGGTGCAGCAGAGCCCGTCGAAGGCAATATCACGCGGGGCTGGCTTGCGACGAGGTTCTGATCCCTGTCATCCCCTATTCCTCATGTAGTCCTTTCTTTGAGAAGACCAAGTACATGGACTCGGCGACCTGGGGGACATGAAGTTCTCCGTCTAGCTCTTGTTTCCCCGTGGAGGGCTCTCCTATGACAGCTGAGCTACTTTCGCCGAAACGCATGGCGGGCGGGCGGTTACTAGCTCCCGTTCAAGTTGTGAATACCATCGGTGTGAAGACAGAGGCGACCGAACTGCTGGAATGTGACGCGAGTGGGATTTGTGAATTGGCTAAACTTCGCACACGCATTGGGCGGGAACGATAGACTTCCCCACGAAACCAGAGCGCAAATGTTGCACCCTAATCACCGGGCACAAGAGAAGCCGACGATCTTGGGTAGGAGCCATAAAGGCGCGTGTATTGATGCAAATCGAAGCCATTCCTCATGTCTTGTCGCGGCGAGCTCAAGAAACTGTGTGGGGGAAAAGGCGAAGAACGCAGCAACCTTCATTCTTTGCCGTACCGTGCCATGTTGTGCCATGTCACGACGAGTGCGTTTTGCACAGGGCGGTCATTCCCTCTTTGGGACGAAATGCGAAGCCATCGTGAGTCTGCGGAAGAGGGGCCAACTCACGATAGTGGCCCCTGCTGCTTTTGTGATCCACGACCGGGCCAGACCTGGCCATGGCGCACAGGCAGGATCTGACAGGTCTAGACTGTCGCGTCCGCCTTTGACAGTGCAAACGAAGAACATCGTGAGCTCGCCCCGGCAGCTGCTCTCGCAAGCATTGCTGGTGCGTGCCACCCGCGGCGATTCCGGTGCTGCCACGCATGTCTGATGTTGTTAGTCTTTGATATGCAGGCGCTTGCTTCCATATAGCATCGGACCGTTGCTTGCCGATGTAGGGCGCGAGTCCTCTGTCTGCCTCCAGACAAGTCATTGCTGTAGGTCCCCTGTAGCGTTTCAAGAATCCAGTGGTCATTGAAGCATTGTATGTTTTGGCATAGACATCAAGCATGAAGATGAGATGCAACCAGCACTGCAACCATATAGATCATAGCCGACAAGCAGTGGTCTGTGAAAGCCCGGCAGTGGAATTTTGTCTCCGCTGGTTGAGAGTCCAGGAAAACGTAAGGGAAATCAAGGGTGTAACAGAGGGCACAGACCGGGGTACCTGGTCACGAACCATGGGCCGCGCTGCCGCTATCAGAACGCTAAAACACCTCGGCGTCGATAGGCAAGGGTGCGGCGGCCTTGATCGACACGACGACTCAGGGGGGGGGGGGAGGGGTTCAGCACCGTGTGCTTTGTGTTCTTGGCCAACCTACGAACTCAGGCAAAATCGCTCTCTGGGGGGCGATATACTCGGTACGCTTGACCCTGATGTTGGTTGGGTGAAGGAAGGTGACTTACGCTCATGGTGGTCGTATCGTCAATCTCTGTGACGCGCCGGTCTAGCATTAGAGGCGGCAATGGCGTCGGAAACTTGTTCGAAAGTTGCTCTGTCGTTAGTAGTCGTGGCAGGCAATACAAGGTGAAGTACAAGGTACTGCCTGCACCTGCTGCATGTTCCTTGCCTTGCCCTGCTCTGTTGCCGGGTGATGGAGGGGCACTTATGGGGCAGACGACGGTAGAGCACGATGCGGACTTGACGATCCCAACCAACCTCCAGGCCAAGGTTCATTGCGAACCTGTTCCCCTGGTCTTGGAGAACATGTGGCCGAATTGTGAAGAAGACGAGGTGGCAGTGGCAGCAGCAGCAGCATGCAGCAACACGGAGACACGTAAAAATAATTAGGCACACACTGCCCGAGGTTGTGACGAGAGGATGGTCCATACGACGATGCAGGTCGATCCTGGGCTTCAGAGTGGATAGGTAGGCATCGGCAGACGGGCAAAGGGGCCGATCAACCTGCTTTGGTCGCTGCAGGCTTCAGCTATCATGCCGAGATTAGTGTCGCAAGAGCTTTTAACCTCAGATGGAATCACAATGCTGTTCTGCCAGAAGGGTGTGGACGGCTGACCTGCAGACGACCTGATCAAGAGAAAAACGCGTGAAAAAGAGGCCGCATCGTCGTGACATGATCTGACCTCGCTCAATCGAATTGGGGGGCGCCCCTATCTCGGGCTCTCTCTCCCTGCTGCTCGGGCTAATAGGTGCTGCAGGACAAAGCCTGGCTTGGGCTGCTGGGAATCGGATAGGTTGGGCGTGGCACCCAGGGTGCGGATGGGTTGGCGTCCATATGGTCCAATGAGGGGAGGCTGTGTTCCCGCCGCACGCGATGCAGAAGCAGCTTGGTAACCTAGGACGACGATGTCCATTGAACGTTATTTCTGGCCATGGGCTTGTACTCGCAGGGCAGCTCGGCAAAGGCAGTGAGCATGGACAAGTATAGGCGAGCCCAGCAGTACGGCGCTGGCGAACGGGATGTAAGGAGGAGTTCGGCTTGGTACGACGACATGGGTGTCTGGTGACGGGCGACGGGCGATGGGCGACGGAGGCGAGCGAGCAGGTGCTTTTGCCCAAGGAAGCTTGGCTGTTGTTTGTCAATTGATGGGATTGACAGGACCTTAGTTTTGCTTTGTTGGGCACGATTGTTAAAGAGCCATGTTGGGGGTTTTTTTTTTGGTTGCTGCTGGTGGCGGCCGATGCTGCCGATGTCGGGCGCTGGTCTCGTCTGTCTTTTGCTCGCTATTCTGCTCGCTAAACGAATGCACGCTCGCCAAGCCAGGTTTCCAACAAGAATCAAGCCAAGGCCTGATCGACAGATTGTAATCAGGACCCGAGCCTTGTTCGTTGACGCCTGGCATGATGATTGATGAGGTGACACACGCGACAAGGGGGGGTTTCCAACCTGGCCGCGGAGATGGCGGGAGTTTAAAGATCGCGAAGCCTTGATG